GTTTGATTATCAATCACAAACATCATCAACGAGAGAATGTATTCACATGACAATGGCAGTATATTCAATTTCTTAAAAAGATCCCTACAAGAGTCTCTAGGTCCCACTCCAGATATAATCCTTATTACCTTTTTTTGTAATTTAAAAACTCTAACATTTGTGAAGTACATCATAGAGATTGGCTCAGGTGGCATGATATACACAAATTCATACATATTCATAAAGAATGGGTGAGGCATTCAAAAGCTGTTATGGGGGGAACACATAGACACACATGGACAGACATGCAGACAGCAAGTCATTGTCATAAGCCTTTTACCTTTCCAAAATAAGGAAAACAGGTTAAAAATAGACATTGTAACACACCTTTCAAAGATTATTACACAACTTAGTGACCTCCCTCTGTGTATAATTTATGATAGTACACACTGCCACTGTCTGAGCTTCTGGCCCTAACAAGGATGCAGCGGTTTGTTTGAAATGTTGGTAATCACCTACAAAATTATGTTAGATTTGAGGTTTTCATGGCGGTGACTATGAAGAATGCCGTCTTCTGGGATGTGGCACTGTGTAGATACTGTATAAATATGATATATGTGATATTTACACAATAGCTACATGGCACCGCATCCCAGAAGTCAGCATTCTTGACCTATAAAACTTCTTGGTGTAATAACTCGCAAGACCATAATCCAAAAGTTCTCTACCATCACCCTTCTTCTAGCTGCAATGATTCCTCAGTTATTGTTATCAAATGAAACAGGGAGTAGATTTTGTGCTTCTGTCACACCACTGTTTTTATATTTATCCTACAAAAATATGAAGAAGTTGACAGAAACTGCACTTTTTTAAGCTATAGTATCACAAACTTCAGAAGCCAGGCCAAATGCTACTAATGTCATTCCTACCTGACAAGTTTACAACATCAACACACTGGTATTATTGACTGTAGAAACTGAACGTTACAAAGATGAGATACCTTCTTATGGCATGGCATTCATATGATGATTCAAGAAAATATGTTTATTACTTTAAAGATTTAAGAGTTGACAGATACATGGAGAGGCAGAACGAAGTCATAAGAGAAAATAATAATTCCAACTTATCTTTTCTTATAAAAACTGGAAGAAAAAGGAAAGAAGATAGATTGTACTTAACCTCCTCAATGACATGCTGCAATCGAGGGCACTTAAGAACATCCAGTTTCATTTTCTGTGGACTGGTCTTGAAGGTATGCTGATGTGCTAAACGAGGCTGCCAATTTTGTGACATCCACATGAAGTCACTAGTGCCATACCGGTCACACAAAATATCTTTAAAAGCCTGTATACTTCTTGTTGTTTCAAATTCCATGTTCATTTGCTGTTTTACACCTGTAACAATAGATAAGTTTCCACTGCCATGAACTTAAAAGTGTTCCAACTCAACTTTCCCACAGTGAATATAATGGCAGATTTGAGATTCTCAAGGTAGTAAGTAATCAAGATTACAGTCTTCTGGGATGTGACGCCATGAAGACTGGTGCAGGTTCCTCTGAAACAATGGTAGCATCTGTCACATACTGTCACATAAAAGAAGACTGCACTCTCAATTCAAATGGAAATTGGCAAGCTTAAATACACATCAAACATGACTTGTATGGGGAAGTGCTGCATACTGTGTTGTCATACACCTTACCACAGTGGTCTTAAACCTGTAAACGCCGGACTTTTAACATGGTGGTAGCTTGAGCTTGAGTTTATTTAAATGCCCATTGTCACTCTACGTTTGAATATCAATTCCTGTTAGGACGTTTACACTGTATTTAAAAATGATGTATCTAATACAATTTTTAGGATAAATGAAAGGAATTAACTTTATTTTTATCAGCAACGAACACAGTGTCGCATATTACAACATAAGATTTGAAAATATTTAGACAAAGAAGTTATACTATATTCTTAATTTTTTCTTGTAATTTTGATGCATACTGTAAAAATTGTTCCCTGCTTCTTCATAGGGTAGTTCTGCATTATAAAATTACTCCTGCTTCTAGCACTTGAAATATTTTCGCATTTTCTGGTTCCATAAACCAGCTGGAAGCAATCAAATCATTTGGTTCTCTGCTGGGAATTTTCACATCTTTGTTGCACTCTTCAGACATTTGTGTCTTTTGATTAAAGGACAGAAAAGTGAAAGCATTACATTTCAAGAGTCTTTGTTCCCTTCTTCAATGCCAAGACCTTCTATTGCATTTGAGACAGAATATTGCACTTTCTATGATCGTAAATAAACAAATGCACTGTAGCCGAGATATAGGGTGCATTCAATTTTCTGTGAGTTCATGGTGAATTCGAATATTGTAGTTACACATCATCATGAAATGGCAATGATACATTGTTTTGAAGATGATGAAATTGAAAGCCAACTGAAGTGCAAGATTTATAACTTGGGACTATGCATTCTCGGGTGCTTCAAGAGGTACGTAAAAAGGCGAGATTCAGTTACATGACGCGGGGGGTTAACCCTGTATACACATCAAACATATAACTACAAAAAAGGTATGTGCATTGAATTTTACTCTATTAAAAACTAAATATATAAGACTGGGCGTTCACATCTACTAGCGGAGTGTGTGCGCACTTCCACTAGTGGAGTCTAAATGCCCGACTGAACAAATCTGTGTACTTCGGCCACGACGGCCACACCAGGGCCTGGATTTTGATGACATAAAAGTATTTTTAAAATGACCAAAAAATCCAGAAAAATTGCCTATAAAATACCTAAAATCCAGAAAATGACCTATAAAATTACCAAAAAATCCAGAAATCTTATCTAACATTTGAAGACTACATAAAAATGTATCATGTCATGGAAAATCTATTAATGTATTTTTAATCTTTATTAACACTGTGAACTCGATGATACTCTTTTAAGTTCGTCCTAGTTCTTATGTTGAAAATTAAGCAATATATGATTGAATTTGAAGCCTGCCTTTGTAGAGGCAGGAGAAAGAGAAAGAAAACTTTACTTGCTTCTTATTCACATTTCTGAAAACATATGTAGAAAAATTCCCCAAAATGGCTAAATGACAAAAAATATCCTTACAAGTCCAAAGATTTACAGAAAAATTACCCCAAACTGAAGAAATGGCCTAAAAAGTTAAAAATGATGAAAAATGACAAAAAATTACCTATAAAAGTTACGTTTCTGTAACCAGCAGCTCATATCCAGGATTTATATATTTAGGGCACTGAATAGGATACAAGGATAAAAAGATGACATGTCATCAAAATCAGGGCCCCGCTCCTCACTGTACCGATCGGTGCACTTCGGACATTAAAGGTTAAATGGTACATCTCTTTTACCAATAATATTTATTTATATAGATATGTATTACACACAGAAAACATTTTGTATGTGATTCATTATAGTTTTTAAATGTTTACTGATGTAAATTAAAAAGAAAAGCATATGGGATCTATCTAACCTGACACCTTCACACTATAAGTCTGAAGCATTATCCTCTCAGCTATATAGGACAACTATCTTGTACCACAGTCATATCAAAGAGAGAACTTTCAAAGCCCATATTTCAGAATCCAGGCCCGCTGAATGAAAGGGCAGGAGATATTTCTCTTTATTTTCCCATCAATTTCCACTGACGTCATTTTCATTTAAACCCTTGATCCAAGTCTCATGTTGGTTAAAATTCCTTTACATTCTCCTCAATAAAATTTTCGTTTGTAATCAAACTTAAAATGTGTTGAGAAATTCCTCTTCGGCGCAATTCTGTAATACTTTCCTCCTCTGGTAAATGTACTTGGCCTTATTAACTTCTGTCCATATTGCTTCCACCGCAGTTTTATTAAAACAAGAAAATTGTTTGAATAAATACCTGCCCCACTTGAGTCAGTTAATACACTAAAGCATCATAAGGGAAGGGAAAAGAATCCGAATGTAAACCTGAGTAAGGTACACCAAAATTCTGTGTATCATAAACTAAAATTTTCAATCCAATACTATAAAGAGTATAGTGAGAGAGGATAAGTATCAGCTAAAATGTATTTCATGCAACGGACAACTGGTTACACCCTTTGACCATGAAAAATTAGAAAACAGTGATAGAATTATAAAACGCATAGACCACAGGCATGTGGTGTTACATGAGAAATTTCAAAATAAAGGAAGCTATATGATAGGCCCAAAGAAATATAGAACATGACACCAAGAATATATATGCATACAAATACCTCAAAACAGATGGAAATAATTGGAAAGTTTCAGGCCTGTGAGGTGTATAATGGGCCCAACCAAGTCTGTGTATATTACTGGGCAGGGGGTTAATACTGAGTACCACAAACCATCCCAGCATGCTTTACAGCCTAATTTCACAAACTAACTTTTTTTCCAATTCACTCCCACACTCAAAGTATTGCCTTTGTCTGAGGGTTATGCAGTACACACACAGATTAAATATGTTCTCTGGAAAAGTCTACATCCGGTTTCAACCAAACTGTTCACAGTCAACACACAAATATTTCATGAACTTGTTATTACATGAAATACTGCAACGTTTCTTGCTGATATGCAGTGTAGACGAATGCTGGCTTCTAAGTATGCAACTTGTCTTCAATGCTATGTACATACCGAACAGACAGTCTCCAAAGGAAACTATCTCCCCCCACCCACCAACACCCACACACAGAAAAGAAAACTTAAATGTCACAATTATTCATAAGTGGTACCTCTTATCAGGAAATACTGTCTCAGCAGGAATCTCCCTTTATGTTTGGACTACTTTTACATGCATACCTATATACAAACAAACAAAAAAAATTCCAAACATCAATCTGCAGGGCCTCAAGTGCAGGGAACCAAGACTATACAATGTTAGCATTATCTTCACCTTACATGTATGGATAATAAACACACGTCTAAGAATAATCAACACATTACCTCTTCATTATTCTCAATCTAAGAATTTGTCTCATTTAGTAATCTATTTTTATGGTGTTGTCATTATCTCAGTATTGTAACGTGTTTACGTCACTTAAGACGCCGTAGAGATGGTTAATTGTTTTATTTAACACTCTACAAGTATCGGCTACAATTAATGATAACAATGTTACGGGTTTCCACACTTTACAAACCCTACAACAAAATCTCTTAATACTTTCTTCAAGAGTCTTCACGTATTAATAGCACGATAGCTATACAAGTCTCGCTGAATTAAACACTCCAAATATAACTGGTTATCACGCTTTTACTCGTTCACTGCTGACTGGTGAACTGTTGATCACACACTGGCTCTCGCTTGCTGCTCAGCCGGCTTATATGCCGTTCGCTGTTACCGCTTGCCCGCGTCAACAGCGTCGTTGCGTGCCACGTAACAGTGTCTGCGTATAACCTAGCAACGCTGTTACCTCATGCCGTCTTACGTCACCGCTGTTGACTTGTGTTGCATAGCTACCAGGACGCTGGGACTCGGCTGACTTCGGCTCCGCTCGGCGCGTCAGCTCCG